CCTTAGGGTCCCGGCCTTTGCCGAAGCCGTCATCTGGCAGCGGTCGTCTGTGTGTGGCGCTTGGTCTGCAGATGCCTGCACATGCATTCAAAGCAACTCTTTTGGGCATCAAGTGCTAGACCAAGAGATGGATGTTGAAGGTGCAGCTTCCACCAAGAAGCCCTACCTTAGGATTACAGGTCTTCGGTTGGGACTGCCGAAGGCACAGCCAAGGCGCTTCTCTCCAAAGCTGCAAGCCTGGCTTTACTCTTTATATTGGGGTTTCCCACTAAAATTGCAGGGTGCCTTTGTGAGGGTCCCCAGAATAAGTGTCGTATCCGATGAGCAAGGAAGGGGTTTAGGGATAAGAGCGTCTTGGTGTCATCTTCGGGAATTAGTTCCAAATCCAACTTGCAGCGAGCAGGTGCGGACATTTTTTCCAGAGCCCCCGTCCAACCCCAAATACCTCAGACTTCAGAAATGCGCCTTAAATGTGCATACAGGGGGCACCAAAACCTCAAACCATAAGTGCTCAACCCTTAGACCCTGAGCCCTAAACCTTGGAGAAAAGGTGCGACAGAAAACCTAAACACCTAAAAAGGCGGCAGTGCGTGGCAGGGAGGTCAAGGTCACCCCCCCAAACTATCAGGAGCCTGCAAAGGGGTTTAGGGTTTAGGGCTTAGGGGGTCCTATAAAGACTGCAGTCCTTTTGAAAGGGCCCTACTTGGAGTTCGCACCACTTTGGGGAGGGTAGGGTCCAAAATGCTAGATGTATGACAAACGACGAAACTGCTGCTCACTACGCTTCAAATCTGTCCTCTTAAGCCCTGAGCTGCATGGCTTCGTGGCAGAGCAGTTCCCTCTCCAGGTTCTTCCGACAGAGTCATGGTTAGAGGACGGAGCTGTGTGCCTTACAGATGCTCGTCATCCCTGAACCCTAAACCCTGAACCCTAAGCCTTAAACCCTAAACCTTCCTGCAAGCTGCTTGCCCTGTGGAAGGGATTTAATTCTTGTTGAATTCCCCCGGTAGCCCCATGTATCGCTTGGGTCCCCAAGGTGCTCCTGGTTTGAGAAATCCCCACCTGCTGCATTGGTCAGATGTGGAACCTGCTAGAAGCATGAGCCTTGCACGTACCCAACACAGCACATGCCCCTAAACCCCCAAGCCTAAACCCTGGCCCATGCTGGCATAAGGCAGGTCGCATGGCATGCAAACCCTGAGCCCCAAACGCCAGAACGTCGCGGAAAAGCACTGAAAGTTGCAAGTCCCTCAGTGTGAAACCCTGAACCCGACTCTGCGAATTTTGGAGCCTACGAGGACCCGCCAAGTTGTGGGCTGTGGTCAGGGTGGCGCAGGCTCTAGGCACTCTAGGCAAAATCCACCAGAAAAGTTCTGAATATTGTGTCTTGGCCCGGGTTTTCTTGTCGGCGCTTGCAAATGTTTTCAGGGGCCTTCACTTTTTGGGATATACCGCGTTGCAGCAATATCCAGCCTCATGCATGACGTGCATGCTGGAAGTCCAAAATTTCAAACGGAGTGCAAAAAAGCGCAATTTTTCTTGTGTTTGAAGAAGATGCAAAGGACCTACCGCAACGAGTTTTGTTCCCTTGTCAAAGGGTAAGAAGGACTGGCACTGGTAAGAACTGTTGGCTGCGCACATGGCGTAGTGGTCCGACCTTGAGGGGAGGGTGGGACTTCCTAAACCCTAAACCCTTAACCCTAAACCCTAAACCCTAAACCGCCCTGCCTGTGTCATCCTGCAGGGCTTAAGGGAGAGGGGCTTGCTGTATAGCCCCCTTTCAGAATCCTTATCTTCACCCCCCCCAGTCATAGGTTCAACCTTTACCTTCATGCTTCTGCAACACTGAACCCTAAGCCAAAACCTTTTTCCTGGATTCAGGAACTCTTGAAGCTTGAACCTCCCATGATGCTCCGAAGAGCAGTTTGCGACTCTGCATTGGATTGTGGCTGAGAGGTAAGCCATGTCCCTGCAAGGAGGATTCGTCACTTATCGGCATTTTCATCTTCGACTGCTAGGTCCCACTGACCTGGCACCCAGATCCTTCTTTCAAGGAGTTAGGGAAGGGTTTCTGACAAGTTCCAACATGCCGCGCTAGCGCCGCCAGATAGGTTGTTCCATCTGGCGCAGATGCCAAAAGCTGCGCTTTGACAACCGGAGGCTTCAGGATCTTGGATTCGCGCATGCCATATGTCAACCGGGCTGTCAGTTGAGCTTCGATCCGTAGACTTCTGTTTCCAGTGCCTCGGCCCCCAAGGCAGACTCCACGGAAATATCCTGAGACAGAGAAACATTGAAGTGGACAAGGCCTATTCAGAAGGCGACCCAACAACCAGGGGTCCTAGCAAAGCTATGCTTGAGGCAATGGCCCATAGTTGTCGCGCTTTTCCCTAAACCCTAAACCCTAAACCCATCCAGAAAGCCGCTTCGGGTTTGAGGGCTCCCGGTTTGTCATAGAGTTGATCAGAACATGAACGTGGAGAAAGTTTGCCCTATCCTGGTCCAGGCCACTCATCCAGTTCCCTCTGATAATATTAGCGGTGCATGCTTCAGTGGGCACATGATTGACCTCGCCACGCAGCGATTCCACAAAAACGGTTTGTCACAATGAGGAAAACATACCCCTGGACCTTGCATTGCGGTTCCTCACTGTCCCCCCATTCCCGCAAAGCAACATGCTACCTCGAAAGGAGCCCCGTAAACATTACGGTCCTCTGACAGAGCCCTTCATGGGGTTCCATGTTTTCCGGCGAGGGTTGGTGTAGCTTCTTCTTGGGATCCCATCCCATGTTTAAGTTTGCAAATAGCTTCAACAAGTAAGATACTTAAGCCTCACAAAATCTGCAAGGGCTCTGAGGCCTTAGCTGCTGATGCAGCCCTACTGCATACCAGAAGCAAGAAGTGAAAAGCTTGAAGGGTATGGCTCTTGGTCTTAGAGGTCTAGACCCCAGATGCTTTATCCCTGAATCCAGCTCTTTAGCATCCAGAGCCGTGCGAGTGACAGTCTCGCTGAACTCTGTTGTGAGACCAGTGCAGTCTGCTCATCTTGAAGTAGCTGACCTGGAATGCCGAACTTCGTAGCCCAAAGCTCACAGCAGCTACAGGCTTATAGAGCCTTACTCTGTTGGAACATTGCTTCGCAGCTTTTGCGCAGCGCCGAGGGAAAGAGGGTCTGTGAGCTTCTGCTGGCATTCATGATTACTTGGGACAGGGGTATGGGCTAATGTAGAAGCCAAAAGAATTACGAATATCACTATCCTAGGTTTCTTGTGTAACTGTAGCATAGGTACTTCGAATAGACCTCAAGCCAAGACTGAACACGTTCCAGGCTTCTGTCAAACGTTATAGAGATGACTGCAGTGACCATTCGACTCTTCAACACCAGGGTTGTCGGCCTTCACGTAACACGCATGGACTTCCACGATGGGGTTCCTAAGACTTGAGGGCCCTTTCTTCGGCTTCCCCAAGTGGCATCAACTTATTGTGGGTGGTATAGGCATATATATATGTTTATGTATATAGACTCATGCTGGCAGTCTACGTGATGCAACAATGATGGATGTATGCACTGAAGCTCCCATTTAGGAGATATGAGAAGTGAGTAGTATTTTATTTGGGGATACTATGGTACCCAATATAGAGTAAGATTCTATCCTCCTTTTTGGGGTATAGTATTTCATATAAGCAATATTATCTTACTAGTGGGAGTATTGGCGTGCTTTGAGCTTCAGCAAGATGGATAGCTCTAAACACTCACAGCAGCATTACATACTGCAGAAAACGGTTCACGGTTGGCCAGATAATGACAACAGGACCCTCAACCTGGAACCCTAAATCCTAAGCCCTAAACTTCCACCTACTCCTTAAACCATATTCCGTAAACCTAACAATAAGCCCCCTAGACCGAAACTTTACACCCCAAACCCTGCTCGCCTACCGAGAAACCTAAACGTTAAACGCTGGCCCTTAAACTGTATATAGGATTTCCTTAGTAGATTCTTTGAATAAAGGGGATTTGAACAGAAACTCGCCTTGAAATGGCTGAAAAACACTTTTCAATACTTTGCATTCATGCATATTGGTGCGCAACAATAGTCAAGATGGTAATGTGCAATATTAGGTTAACAAGAGCCTAGCAGCAAAGCTCCTACTGCGTCTGGTATAGACTGGGGTTCCCATAATTCTCGCGCCATATATCCTAAACCCGAAACCCTATCACCCCAGACAGGCCCCCTAAAGATCCCTGATCATCCCAGTATAGCTCTAGGGTCCACAAGGGTATGTCTATTTTAGTTTAGGGTTTAGGGTTCAGGGTTTCACGAAGCGTCTCTGTCTCAGAAGATGGTGTTTATTTTAGCAATCTTGTTCCACATATTCCTTACATGGATTTCATGTAGCGTGCGCCAACGCCCTATTCCAATCGTCTAGGCGTCTACTTTGAACTCCAAACGTAAACCCTAAATAACGCCATGGACTCGAGCCCCAAACTCCCTGAACACCGAAACCCTAAATCCTAAACCTTGTTCCCTAAACCCTCAACACTTAAACGCTCGATCCTAAGCCTGGTTCCCTGACCCCTACACACCTCAACCCTCAACCTTGCACCCTAAACCCTGAACCCTCCACCCTCTATCCCCCTAAAACCTAAACCCTAAATAGTAGTTTCCATTTTTCCATTATAAGATATTATACCACAGTCTCCCCACTCCATGCTACCCAAAAACCTTTGTCCGCCATTTTGCGCGGCCCCACAAAGGGCTCCAGGCAGAGGCCCTAAAGCCTATACAAGAAATAAATAGTAGTTTCCATTTTCTTTCCCTTCTATTATATTATATTACATTATATTCTCCCCCCTCCATCCCACCCAAACCCTAAACCCTAAACCCTAAACCCTAAACCCTAAAAACCCCTTGTCCGCCATCAAAGGGCTCCAGGCAGAGGGCAAATCTCTTAGCCCCGCACTTCCGCTTTCACTGAACACTCGGAGTTGAGCTAACAGGATGGCGTCCAGGTACGCGGTTTAGGGCTTTAAGGGTTTTTGGGGTTTAGGGTTTAGGGGTTTAGGGTCTAGGATTTAGGGTTTAGGGGTTTAAGGGATTTAGGGGATTTAGGGTTTAAGGCGTAGGGTTTAGGGCTTAGGATTTAGGGTAGTTGAGGGTTTAAGGCTTAGGGTTTAGGATTTAGGGTGTGAGGCTTAGGGTGTAGGATTCAGGGTTTAGGGTCTAGGATTAGGGGTTAGGCGGCTTAGGGGTAGTGAGGATGGAGGGTTCAGGGGTTTTGTTACTTGCTTTGGGTCAGGACTTAGCGTTGAGTGTTTAGGGATACTTGGGATTGAGTGTGTAGGCCTAGGCCCTAAACCCTAAACCCTAAGGTTTAATTCGAGTTTGGGGTTGACGGTTTCGGGGTTTTCAGGTTCAAACGGGAAGGCATCCAGGGGGGGCTCAGGGGTCCAAAATAACCCCATATAAACCCTAAACCCTATAAGTGTCTATTAGAACACGTAGGCTTCTGGGACTGGGACTTTTTTGCTTCCTAAACCCTAAACCTTGGGTACTGCCCCCCAGTAACAGTTGGGTAATATTTATGATATGGTTATATATAGCCCTTAATAGGACCCCTAATGTAGACTGTTACTGGGGGGGGCAGTACCCTAAACCCCAAACCCTAGGTGTAGGGTTTAGGAACCATAAGCTCTAAGCCCTAAACCCTCGGGTTTGGGACGAAATCTTGAGGGTTTGGGATTTCAGCCTTTCAGCCTGCAGGGCAGGGCTTTTGCAGGTTCAGAGTTCTAAGGCTGAGGGTTTAGGGTGTAAGGGTTTAGGGTAATTTAGGGTTTAGGGGGGTTGCTGTTCGGGAATTTCGATTAGGTTGCCGTTATGGGTCATAGAAATTAATAGGGTTTCCTTGTTGAAGTGATTTAGTTTAGGTTCCTTAACATTAACCCAGTTTCAACTCAACTTCTGGAAGGTTTTGGGTAGGGGTGATGTCCAAAAAAAAACAGCCATAAAGGGCCTAAACCCTAAACCCTTCACCTGCAAGTTACTCCGCTTGAGGTTGCACGTTTCTTTTGCACGTTTCTTTGGGAGAAGTTGCATGGTTTCTTGCTGGGATGTTGTTAAAGATCATAGCTTCAAGGGTTTAGGGTTTAGCTTTTGGGGTCTAGTGTTCAGAGTCTTGCTACTCAAGGTCATACATACAAGACTGGGGGTTCCCTAAAACCAGGGATACCTTTGTGGGGGTCCCTATATGCAGGACTATGTAGTATTTTAGAGGATGTATTGGGGTCTTTCTCTATTTAGGGAAACTACCATATCTTTTTTTTTTTTAAGAGGCTTAATGAAATAGAGAGGTTGTATGCAATACTGACCCAGGTAGCAGGATATGTTAAGGTTCAACGCCCGCCCTACTCAAAGTATGGGCCCCTAATGTAGCCTCGGAGCCCAACTAGGGTCCCTAAACCTTGAGGCCCCAAAGCCACCTCTTCTGAAACCTTAAGCCCCAAGGCCCCAAAGGGCCCCAAGCCACAAGGGTACATATAAGGTATGTGAGGTATGTACTAGGTGGAAAGGGACCCTTGGTTAAAGGGTCGATATAAGGGCCCACGGCTTTAGCCTCAGAACTTGGCATCTGCAAGCGTGTGAACCCATTTCCAACCCACTGCTACGCCCAAGCTCCCTGAACCCTCCAGCTCGCACAAGCGCCGACCCTAGACGCGGTCTAGGGTTAGGGGTTTAGGTTTAGGGTTAGGGGTTTAGGGTGTCGGGTTTAGGCTTGAACCCTGAACTCTGAATCCAAAACCCTGAGTGTTGAATCCTGAAATCTGAAACATGAATCCTCAACCCAACCCTAAACCTCTTGTTACCAAGTCCCTATTCCTGTCTAACCCCAATAAGATCCCTATATATCCCCACATATCCCTCAAGACCCCCTTAAAAGGACTAAACCCTAAGCCCTACACCCTAAACCCTGAACCTGAAAAATGGTTACTAAGTCCCTTAGAAACCGCCAAGCAGGTCCACGGCAATGGGCATGACCCTCGGTGCCATGGGTGCTGCTTCGCTGGTGGGAACGGTCCATGGCTTGGTTCAGGGTTCAGGGGATGAGGGTTTAAGGTTCAGGGATTAGGGTTCAGGGTTTAGGGGTTCGTGTTTAGGGTTGAAAGTTGAAGGGTGTACGGCTGATGGTGTCTTGGCATTTCTGGTTTCGGGTGAAAGAGGATGTCAAAGGAATTTGGAGTCCCCACTTGTGTACCCAACGTATAGATTTACCAATGTTGCGGTCCTGAGGAACCTAGCACGAAGTGTTTCCAAAAGAATTTGAGATAATTCAGATCTCGTGTATTTGCTTGTGCGCAAGGGGGAGTCGTGCTTCTGGCTAATGTGACTATCCGTCACAGGACACCAGTTTCATCACATTCCACAGACATTCAGACCCTTACTAACATGAAAGATTTTTTAAAATGAAGTCTTGAGTTTTTGTTCCTGTGTTTTTTGGGGAAATGGACTACATTGATTGCATCTTGCTAGGTTTTTTTTCCTTTGCGGGAAGCCGAAGCCCTGAATCCCCACATACCGAACTCACCAACACCCCTTCCAACCAGTGCCGAGCCCTTAACCCCAGCTGCTACGTATTCCTTGCGAGGCCCCCCCAAGATCCCACATCCCAACATTTGTTGAAGCTTTCACAGCCCTAAATCTGAACGACAAGTCCAGATTCTGGAGCCCTGAGTCCCGGAACTTGGAGCCTTCAACTTGTCAAGCCCCTTTTATGCCCTTGACATTACCTGTGACCCCAATTTCCTACAGTTTTACGGGTTATGCTTGCGAAGTAGGGGGTAATTATTACTAAGCTGTAGGTAATTGGGGCAGCAGGCCCACACCTCACCCTTAAATTCAACCCTCCTTACCGCATTTCCTATTCCCTCAAGCCCAGACGAGTGCTGCAGGTCAAAAACAAGAGCAAAAACGTTGTCAATACCCGCATAACACTCCCGACCTGAACCCTATATGAGCTATAGTCTAAACTCCTTAAAGGGGGGTTATATAGGGGATAATATATGGGGCTACTATAGGGGGTATTAAGGGGGATACTAGGAGTTTAGACTATAGCTTATATAATTTGTACGGCCCATAAACTTTAAACCCTGCACTTTAAACCCCGCTCCCTAAGCCCTCAACCTAAACCCGAAACCGTAAACCCCTAAACCATAAACCCTAAACCCCAACCCTAAGCCCTACCACCCTGCATGATGTTGGCTAGAGATGTTTGCTGAAAGTGCCTTCCCCGTACTCAGAGCCTACGCTGAGTACAGATCCCTGGAATACAGGAATGACATGATAGGTATCAAGCATATGCTGGTTAAATCCCCGGGGTTCCAAAAGTATCCTCTTTGCACGACGCGCGCATGCGCATGGCAGCCGTAAAGCCCAAAGCCCTCACCCCTCACCCCTAAACCCTAAGCCCTAAACTCTAAACCCTAAACCCTAATCCCCTAAACCCCTACACCCCTAAGCCCTACCGCCCGCAACATCCCCAGGCATTTGTGGCCCCGACGGCGCCCTCGGCAGCTCCGGCCCTAAGGGGCTCAGGGGCCGCATCGGGCCAGGGAGCAAGCGGAATCCAGGCAGATGGTTGGGGTTTTAAGGGTTTAAGGGTTAAGGGGTTTAGGGTTTAGGGTGTAAGGGTTGAGGGGTGTAGGATTTGGGCGTTCAGGATTTAGGGATTTAGGTGTTTTTGGATTTAGGGTGCCTGTAGGATTTGGAGTTACAGGAGTTTTGGGGGGTTTCGTTCTTCGGACTTAGGACTTAAGGTCTGTCGTCAAAGTTGTGAGTTGGAGGTTGAACTGTTATAAATCAGGGATTATATACGGGACTACTGTA